ATGTATTCAAACCGCTGTTAGGTAGTTAAAAAACCATTGAGAACTTCCTGTTCACAGGACTGAAACTGGATCTGTGTGAACATACGGAGTTATTTGTGATCTCGTGCATAAAGAGTGTGTGTCACAATACAGCCATAGTAACATCTTACACAGGCATATAAGTTAATGCAAACATTTAGTGTGAGAGTGAACTTTAGAAGCACTTTTCCAACATGCTTGTTTTTTAAYGATGGTGCACTTCTGCAGCATCTTCATTTAATTAAAAAAAAAGTCGTTAGGAGGGTGAGCTCAAAGGGAACAGAGGCAGCGCACCGTCTGTGACAGTTTGTTTCTGAGTCTATCACAGCTTTGGGTTTCTTCCTTTAGAATGGCAAAAACATAAGCCTGAGTTCAGTAAACGATGCTTTTACTTCGAGTCAGGCTGAACACTGAYGGCATCAAACGGCTCCGTGCAGCTCGCGGCTGGAAAGTCTCTTTTCAGCAGCCAGGAAGTAAAGGGGAGTTTCAACTTTTACTCGCCCTCCCCTCTTAAAAAATAAAAATAAAAAATTCCATAGATGATACAATCATCTTCCCTCAGCATAAACTCACTCATCGAATYAGATGGACAAGAAAATTCACAAATACCTCAAAAACGATCGTTCATGTTCATCATTATTTACAGAAGCATGAAGAACATCATTCAGATTCATTCAAAAATCAAAACAGCAGAAAAAAGCACAAACCTGATCCTTTTACCTGCCTCAGCTTATTCACAGAAAGAAAAAAAAACACCAACACAGTCTACGGCCTTGACTGATGGATGACAACAATGAATAAAACACATCAGCAGTTAGCTTTAATATCTACACCCTAATAAAATACAATCCTGCTTCATTAWAAACTAATGAATGTTAAGTGTTTGAACTGTCCTGATTCTGACAGTTTAATTTYGCAGGTTTTCATCAAGACCTGCTGATGTTCACTTTACTTTGCCTGGCGCGGTTTTTAAATCAGAGCTTCSACAACGATTTTAAAACATAAAATCAAAATGCATAGAACAAGAAGAGAATTTCTACAGTTACAGCAATGAACCAGATTAAAGTGGTTTTTGAAGAATCAACAATCAAGCCCTTACATGGATAAAAGTTTCCCCTCAATGCAAACAGATTGGGTTGGGTTTGTTTTCTCCAAAAAAGTAGTCATCTTAAAGAGAAAAAAGTCTGAAAAAAAAATGAATTATTATATCATGTAGCTGCAGTTTAATGTTAAAGTTCAGATAATTTGAAGGGAGGTTTTGTGGAAATATTAAGAAAAGTTACCCAGCTGCTGTAGAGAGCTCTTTATAGTTTATTTCTAGCTGGACTGATGTTATCATATTATTATTATTGAGTGAATAAATGCTATAAAACATTCCCATTATTGAGATCATTTTTTTCTTCCATACATTTCTTTGGCTCGAATTTTGTTTCACAAATTGTGTTTTTTCAACAATTTTTATATCATAACATTCCAGCTATTACTTTTGGTACATCAGCAGTTTATACT